GCAAGAAATGCTCGACGACGACATCGTCCAGCCCTCAAATAGTCCGTGGGCTTCACCGGTAGTCCTGGTGAAAAAGAAAGATGGGACTCTTCGGTTCTGCGTGGACTATCGTCGACTAAAAGCCGTAACAAAAAGGACGTCTACCGCTGCCACGCATCGACGACGCTCTGGACCGGCTGCGCCCAGCCCGATTCTTTTCGTCAATGGACCTGAAGAGTGGGTACTGGCAGATCAAAGTCGACGAACGGGATCGTGAGAAGACTGCCTTCGTCACCCGGACGGACTGTACGAATTTAAAGTGATGCCGTTCGGACTGTGCACGGCACCGGCGAGGTTCCAGTGCGTAATGGACACCGTTCTTTCCGGCCTGGAATGGAAAAGCTGCCTCGTCTATCTCGACGAGGTCGTAATATTCGCAAGCGACTTCGACGAGCACCTGAGACGTTTGCGAGCCGTGCAACAGGCTATCCAGAATGCTGGGCCGATATTAAAGCCGTCAAAATGTCGGTTCGCTTACGGCGAGTTCAAATTCCTGGGTCATGTCGCGGTGTAGGCCCTGATCCTGCGAAGACATCCGCTGTTGCTAAATTTCCGAAGCCATCAAACAAGAAAGCCGTCAGAAGATTTCTTGGGCTGTGCGCTTACTACAGACGTTTCGTTCGAGATTTTGCTAAGATTTATGCACCGCTCACGCATCTGACGAAGGACGACGTGGACTTCCAGTTGGGGGGGATCAAGAACAAGCGTTCAACGAACTGAAGGAAAGACTCCAGTCACCCCCTATTATCTGACACTTCGACCCATCAGCGGAAACGGAAGTTCACACGGACGCCTGCAACGACGGACTCGGCGCGGTACTCGTCCAGAGGCAAGACAGTGCGGAAAGGGTGATCGCTTACGCAAGCAGGGCACTGTCCAAGGCAGAGAAATATTACTCAACGACTGACAAGGAATGTATCGCTGTCATCTGGGCGTTAACCAAGTTCCGTCCGTACCTGTACGGGATCCCGTTCCGCGTTGTCACGGACCACCACGCTCTCTGTTGGCTGGCCAACCTCAAGGACCCGTCAGGACACCTCGCTCGCTGGAGCCTTCGACTGCAAGAATACGACGTAATAATTGTGCATAAGTCTGGCCGCAAGCACAACGACGCCGACTGTTTGTCTAGGGCCCCAGTCGAATCTCCTACCGAAAGCTCTGACGACGACGATGACGCCCGTTTTCTCGGCGCAGTTGCAGATACCGACAATGGGAACACTTCAACGAGACGACCCGGAACTTCGCGCTGTGATCGACCACCTCGAAGGTCAAGGAAGTTCAGTTCCGCGAGTCGTCGCCCGAGACTTGTCAAGCTTCATTCTGCGGTGAGGCGTGCTCTTCAAAAAGAACTTTGGAACGAGCAACCCTGCCTGGCTGCTGGTTGTTCCGGCCAGTCTGCGAGAAAAAATCGTTCAAGCCTGCTACGACGACCCGACGGCTGGACACCTTGGCTACAGCAGGACGCTCGCCCGGATTCATGATAAGTACTACTGTCCGAGACTCCCGAAACCAGTTCATCTGTACACACGATCGTGCCATGAACGCCAACGACGTAAGAGGCCTCCGACGAAGCCAGCAGGACGCCTGCAGCCGATACCCGCCCCGACTACGCCCTTCCAGCAGGTAGGAATGGACCTACTTGGGCCGTTCTCAACATCGACGCAAGGAAATCGGGGGATCATCGTCGCTACCGATTATCTTACACGATACGCCGAGACGAAAGCCCTGCCATCGGGAACAGCGCTGGAAGTCGCCAAGTTTTTCGTCCAGTCCATCCTCCTTCGACACGGCGCACCCGAAGTGTTGATCACAGATCGAGTATCATCTTGCATGGCACACCTGACTCAAGAGGTTCTTCGGCTTAGTCACACAAACCATCGACGAACCACAGCTTATCATCCGCAGACCAACGGACTAACAGAGCGGCTCAACAAGACGATCGCTGACATGATCTCCATGTACGTCGACGTGGAACACAAGACATGGGACGAGGTGTTGCCGTACGTTACGTTTGCATAAAACACAGCGGTTCAAGAAACCACGGGAGTGACGCCTTTCCGACTGGTACATGGCCGGGCGGTTACCACAATGCTCGACGCCATGCTGCCTCACGTGCCAACCGATGTTGCCAAGGACAACGCTCAACTGATCTCCCAGCGCGCGGAGGAAGCTCGTCAGCTGGCAGGAATCAAGATTCAAGAGCAACAGCGAGTCGACGAACGCCGGTATAACCCTCGTCGCCGGGACGTCCGCTTTCAACCCGGAGACCGGGTATGGGTTTGGACAACAATACGGCGCCGCGGTCTCAGCGAGAAGCTTCTGAAACGCTATTTTGGACCCTACAAGATCATCCGACGCCTCGGCGATCTGAACTACGAAGTCCTTCCCGACGGAACGCGGCCGTCTGCAAGACGTCAGCCGCGACCCGAGGTGGCGCACGTTGTCCGGCTGAAGCCGTATTACGAACGATAGAACTTTCCACTCTCGTCGACGGGTGAACTGTGAACTGTAAACTGCGGCTCGCGATTTTACTGTCGTTTTGTTTCTTTTTTTTTTTTTTTCGTTTTGTGCTGCATCGTGACGATGCACTTTTTTTAAAGGGGGGGATACTGCCGCGCGCAGGGTCATGGACTTGTAGAAAGTTCTCGTTTTTGCTGCGGACATAACTTCTATTGTTTATCCTTGCTTTTGTTGTTCTAGAAAGTGCTTGTTCATTCTCGCCCGAACGCGTTACGCTCGAACCTTCTCCGCCGAATCTTCGAGATAGTGACTCACTCTAGATAAGAGGCCGCCCGCGACCTTGTCGAGTCAGTCTCGCTCCTGCGCTTGATCCTGCGGTTTCGACGCCCGCGACGCTCTGCTGTTTTCTTTTGTACCCTTTTATTTTTGGCACAAGTTCGCCACATTAAACGTTTATTTCTTCCTGTTTATTGTTTTTTGGTCACCACCCGTGACAATATCGTCGACGTAACGTCGGACAAAACTCAAGTTCTCTGTCGTCCCCCCTCTAGAAAACTCAACGCACTAGAGTCTAGACTGCGTTTGAGACTCCGTCCGTGTCGTTCTGTGTTTTGGTCCTGTCCGTATCCCCAATCTCGGGTTTACAACTATGCCGGTGGTATTGTCTAATTCACCTCATGTCCATGTTCACGTAGTCCATGAAGCTCATGCCGATGAAACAAAACCTTCACAAAAGGCGACTTGTGACGCCACACGAGCTTTCGTTGTCTCAAATTGCTCAGCTACACGGATGTGTGCTCGTCGTTGTCCGTCGTCCGCCCATCACCTTCACTTTCCTGTCGTAAAACCTACCAGACGGTAGGGAGTGCTACAGTATGAGCAAATTATACAACCAACCACCCAACTTGCAAGTTGCATAAAACATGTTCGCAGCACATGGTCCTTATGATTGTTTATACTATTTTATAACCGCAGGCTTAAGATAAGCTGGAACATTCCTCTTAATGCTATTTTTAACCTCCTTGCCGCTGGCCCTGTCACAGCTAGAATATCTGCCGGTTCTCTTATGTCACCACGACGTGATTTAATGTTTGCAGTTAAATCTTTTTTAATGTTTTCTTTAAAGAAAGAATGAAAGGAAGTCTAATTTTTGTTTAAGATTTTGTGAACATTAAATATTATTTTGGGGGGCTAATTCGTAACAAAGATAAAAATCATTTTAAAGTCCCTTTAACAGAACAGCCATTCTTACTGAGAAGAAACGTTCCTATACGATGTTGCGTGAAACTTCCTCAATCAAACGTAAACCAATAAACAGCGTGAAGGAAAAATGGGCGCAATGCGTGAACTCTGCAGCGCAGGAGATATAATGTATTATCATCATAATTTCAATGAAAAGTTTGTGATAAAACACTTTTTTATGTTGTGTTTGCAAGTATTGCGCGCCAATTCTTGATAATATGACTTTGCATGAGCTTCTTGATTGAAAAAAAATATTGTAACGAAATCGCATTTTAAGATATAAAAACAATGGTTTACTTAACCTATTTCTCAAAATGCTTATTTATAGATGAAATAACACTATTTCCAGCATTTTTAATTGCAGATAAAAGTGGATTGCTCAATGATAAAAGCAACACGGCTAGACTCTTTATGGCGTCACTGTAGTATGCTTACAAAAAAAAAAGGGAATAACATAGCACTTTAGCAGTTAGAACTGGCTGAAACTGTCACAGAACCAGTTTAAAATGTGCTTTTTGATCTCCACAGCCCGGAAGTGAACCGAGGACCGTCAAATCGAACTCGATTAAGCGCTCTGTTAGAAACAACCTTTAGTTTGCATCACCTACTAAGATCTGAAAAACCCCCAGCGCTAATCCTTTTACTTACTTACCTTTCACACCTTATGATCCCTAAAGCACTTTTAGAGAGGAGTGGTCAAGAACATGTAACTAGCATACGCAAAAAGGGGAACTATACTCGAAAAAAAAAGACACCATATTTTCAGTTTCATAATTTACAGCGCTCTGTTCAATCAGGGAGGGGACGAGCGCTCACGTTGAACCGCATAAGTCGTACGACGCAGATATAGCGCTGCATCAGTTTTCAGTTACGCTCAAGTCAGGGCTCCAACAGCGTTTGTATTGAAATTAGTGCTGCTCTCTATCTGTAAACCGACCGTACATACCAAACAGAAAAATATTTATTTTTATTTCTGAAGGCTCGTTCACACTTCTCACGCAAGATCGTTACCTCGCGTTTTCCCCCGTTATGTATAAGTCAGTTCTTAATCCGTTCCTCGAATGTCGCGTGCAAGTCTGCTTCTTAAACTTGTTGCCACTCTTGATACGAAGCACGAATGCCTCTGTGAGTCTCGACGTAAGCCGAAGTAAATGTTTGTAACATAAGAGGCCGTTAGGACGCGGTGTTGTGTGAACCAGCCTTAGCTGTCTAAGCAGTGTGTTTATTTTCATTTTTGTTTGCTTTTTTTCACGCTTTAGAAAGATTTGATGGGCGACGTCCCGCACGAGGAAACCATCCTGGAGGACGACTCGGCGTCACTCTCCGAGCGGATCCTGAAGCCGTTCAGCGAGAAGCTGATGGACCTGTTCGAGCACGAGTACTACGAGGTGATCATCACGCAGACGTCTCTCGCCTTCGTGCTCGGGCTCTCGGGACTCCTGATGGCGCTCCAGGCCGACACCCTGTTCTACTACAAGCTGGTGCTGGCCTCCGAGGCAGCCTACATGGCCTTGTACGTCGCTGAGGTCCTGCTCATGGTAGGTGCACCACGCGAAGAGGCTCGCTTCCAGGACAGGTGCTACGGTCAGTGACGGCTAACTCCGTAGCTCCGGTGGCGCTGCTAATACTTCATACGAAAGACAGGCTGAGGCGTGTCTCTTATTCGTATTACGCTCCTGTCATAGAGGTGATACTATTCCAGAGCAAGTCGCCTGCTTCTTGCGCAGGAGTTGAGGTGACGCTAGAAGGACGCCGAGCTCTGATTGACTCTGATTGAAATATAGGGGGTGGACCACAAAGTAGGCTGCCCTGACGTCTATCAAATATCCTTCAATCAGAGTCAATCACAGATCGGCGTAATGACGTCACCACAACCCCTGGAAAAGAAGCAGACGAACTTGCGCTCCGCATACGTGCCCACTCACACGCTCGGAACATCAAATATATAAAGCGAACATGCCCGAGGCGAGTTCCACGATAATTTTGCCATGACGTCTGCACGGAACAGTGGGTCTAGTGTATGCTGATGGAGGAGTGCCACTGCTGCTTGAGGGATATGGGGCGACACAATAAGCGCCGACACTATATGCCTCCAATTGTTGTTTTCGTTTTTTTTTTGTTATGGTTTGTTCTTAGTAGGAAAAAAAGGAAAACTAGTGAAAATATTAGGTTTTTTTTTTTCAAACCTCGCAATAAAAGAAATGTAATAGCGCAACATTTGGTGATTGGGATACTTTCACAATCCAGAAACTAATTTCCCTTGTCATACCCCCTTCGGAGTGGAAAATTATTGCTAAGTCCACAAGTAAGCACTGGTCCAAGGCTACGACTGTGTACGTGACACTACTGACTCGGCTGGCTAAAACTCATCCTTTTTTGCGAGAAATAAAAAAAAAATGTAGAGAGGATTCAAAGGGCCATTAACGTGAACTGTTTTATCTCGCTGATGAGGGCCAACACCTTACGCGATATTTACAAAACTGCAGTAGTTAAGTAATCCAAGATCAGATTGTTATGTTTTTCCCCCTGCTGTGGTTTCAATTGAACTGAATATTTATGCTGCTTAGTATGCTCTAGCATCGTGGTTCTCAGCCATTGATATTTCACAGACCCTTGTGGATCGGCGGAGATGATGGAAGACTCCGCTCATGATGAGGGGACGGGAAAGTATAGGGTTATTACGATAGTGATTTAATAAATGGTGATAACTAAGTGCTAGTGCAAAGAAGACTTCTCATATTGACATATGCACGAGAAAATTCACCCGAAAATTTGAACGTTGCTTCTCAATCTTAGAAAAAAACTTTTATTGCCGGGCTTGACTAATGATGCTGGACTTCAGGGGCTCCTAGAATGCTTTCGCGGACCCCCATATGATAACCACCGCTCTGGCACTTTAAATAACAAAATTCCCAGGAAACATAAGCACTTCGAATGAGTTGTGACAGAGTCGTGTATAGACAAAGTTTGGTCAATGGGAGGCGCGGACAGAGCCAGGGCGTGAATCAGACGCAGAAAAAGGGCTTGACATGCTCTCTTGGCCATCTGGAACCCGAAAATATTCCCCTAGAGGCTGTAGCGAGAAACAGTTTTAATCATAGGTATATGGTAAAAATATTCGCGTAAGAGTTAAATGTAGTAACCCTTCATTGATGATAATAAGATCCACGTTATGTTTCCATCATGATCACGCGGAAAAATGTAAGAAACGAATGTGCCACTCAACTCTGTTTTGCTCAGAGTGTGACCGCTGGGACGGCAGATTCCCAGCCCTCAGCGCCTGGCGTACGAATTCAGTCGATTGTTCCGCACCTCGTACTCTTCCACCATAATTTTGGATCACCGTAATTAAAACACCACGTTCCCCATATTTTCAATCACCGAGAGTTACTCCGACGCACTTATTAAGTTTGTTTTTCGTGACCACCACCAGGGTATTATTTCCGGCTTCTGGTTGGCCACATTCCAATTTGTGGAGACGCTCATGGAACATGCCCAGCCCACTTTCCGCCAATGGCGCCTCCTCATCTGTCTCCTATACTTCCCAATGAATATCCAAACTCTCTACATATATGACTCTGAGTTCTGAATGCGAACGCACTCTCGGCGCCGAGAGAAGCAAGGGTGGCCGCAGCGCCGGCAAGGAGTGCGGCGGTGCGCCGCACAGCACAGGCCACCCGGGCTCGCTGGTGACTGCTGCGCCGCTGGATGACGGAGCGCAGGGAGTGCGAAGCTTGGTGCGGCACGTGCTGAAATTACGTGTCCTCTCATTATCATCATCGCCCTAGCTACGGGCACCGGTTGACTACGTTAACCCTCAAAGCGTAACGCTAGGCCTAAGCTTAGGCCTAACGTCAGGCCAGCGTACCCTCCTCATGCTAAAGAGCGACTCGTACCGGCTGGCGACGTTAAACCTCAAAGCATAATGATAAGCCTAACATTAAGCCTGACGTCAGGCCAGCGGTTTGACCCTTAGCAACAATGAAGCCGTTGCAATAGAGCGACTTGACGCGTCGCAGCCAATGCGAATTTAGGTGCCGTTTCGCTGCTACAGACAACGCCGGGCTTCGCTCCATTGGACAGTTAATGCTTTCGAATTAACGAACTGAGGTTTAATAATAGGGGCCACGCTCTCTTTGGGACATTACTTCTTCAGATGCTTCGCTTTGAACTTTTCTTCTACAAAAAGGTCTTCGAATCAATGCAAGGATAAAAAATACTGTTAATTATTTGCAAAATAAATCTAAAAAAATATTGCCGCGCGCGCAGCGGGCCAAGTAGGCGGCGCTGCCGTGGCCTAACGGTTATCGCGCTTGCTTCCCATGCGAAGAGGCAGGGTTCGATCCCTGGGAGCGACGTGAATTTATTTAGTTTTTCTACTTGTCATTCTCGCAAGTTCGAGAACTTTCTCGTCTCACCTAATTACGAATGTTCTATTTACCGAACGCTCTCGTCCGAATGCTCCACAGACCTACGCCGGTAAAAAAGGTGCTCCGCGTGGCGAGCCGGAGTCAGTCTAGCTCCAGCACTCGATCCTGGTGTTTCGCCGACATCGACGCCTGCGGCGCTAACTTCTATTTTGTATTGGGCTCAAGTTCGCCTCATTAAACGTTTAGTTTCTTCAGTCAATCTTCGTGTCGTCATTTGTCACTCGTGACATTTTGGTGGAGGTGCGGGGTATCGCATCCTATCCACGTGAAGCGTACCCCTCCGAAGACATCCCCGCCAAGTGAAGTGCTCAGTGCTCAGGGGTAACGAATCTTCAGAACGGGCATACAATGGTTCTCTTTACAAACTTTCGACAAGAGCCGCAATACCTTATGAAAGGTACCACTGTGAGCCACATCGAGTAACTCCAGAACTCCGCCAAAATCGCCGCGATTACTGAAAGTCCGCTTCACTTGAGCAAGACAGTACGTCACCAGCGCAGCTCAACATCGACACAACGTTTTTGGGCCTGAAACGACGGCAGCTGATTAACCTCCTCGCCGAATACACCGACTGCTTTCGGACATCGTCGAAGGTACATCAAACCGCCGTGGCAGAGCACAGCATCGTTACCAAGGACGACGCGCGCCCTGTGCATCGATCGCCCTACAGAGTCTCCATAAAAGAAAGAGAGGTAATCCAGGAACAAATTCAGGAGATGCTGAACGACGAAATATTCCAACCTTCGAGCAGTTCATGGACGTCTCCAGTCGTACTGGTTAAGAACAAAGACGGAGCACTTAGGTTCTGCGCGGACTACAGGAAGCTGAATGCGGTGACTGCGAAAGACGTCCATCCACTCCCCCGCATCGACGACACGTTAGACCGGCTGCGCCACTCTCGATACTTCTGATCGATGGACCTGAAGATCGGATACTTGCAAATCGAAGTCGGCGAACGGAACCGAGAGAAGACAGCTTTTTTCACGCCAGATGGACAGTACGAGTGCATGGTGATGCTCTTCGGACTATGCACGGCGCCAGAAACTTTCCAACGTGTCATGGAGACCGTACTGGCAGGACTGAAGTGGGAGAGCTGCCTCGTCTACCTCGACGACGTTGTAGTGTTTTCCAGCGACTGCGACGAGCACTTGCGACTACTCCGATATGCACTCCAAGCCATACGGACCGCCGGACTAACCCTCAAGCCGTCGAAGTGTTGGTTCGCCTATGACGAACTGAAGTTTCTAGGCCACGTGGTTAGTAACGAAGGCGTTCGCCCAGACCCAGAGAAGACTCGCGCCGTCGCAGCACTTCCACCGCCGACAGACAAGAAGGCAGTGCGAAGATTCTTTGGACTGCCTAATTCTTTGGACTGCCAAAGCTAATTACTTTGAAATTACGACAATTTCTACAAATAAAACTGGTCACCTTTTGTTCGCAAACGGAGGCCAAGTAGCCAGCCATGTAAGTCAGCGGTGCGAACTCAACTTCGGAAGAGACTTCAGTGTACTTCATCAACTGCAGGATTTTTTGTTTCACCAGTGGAGTTGGCACATTTCATCACCGTCTGGCACTCAGAACTAGAATGCACATTTACATTTCCGGCAGCTTCCAAAATGCGCACACAAACCACACACGCGAACGCAGAGTGGCACTACGATATTTTCGCCGAGTACAGCGGTGCATAGGGGGGGGGGGGGGGGGGGGGAAGCGAGTTTTGCTGCCTTCTGCAACCGCGGCAGCGCCTCGGTATCGGCGAAGCCAATGACAGGCAGATATTTTATCTGGGTAGCGGAGCAAGAGCGCGTTGGGCAAATTCTCTATACTCCGTTCCACCTTATTTTGTACCGCAGCGAAGGCTGGAAGCGCGAGCTCATAGCGTTGACAGCTGCCTTTACTGCACGAGAGCTTGTGCCGCCGAGATCTGCCCCAGAGCAAAGAGCTCGCGCTTACAGCCTTTCCTGCGGTACAACATGAGGTGAAACAGAGTATAGCTTTCAGCTCACAAGACCGCTCACCGATGTGCAGCACCCCCACGGAAAATGGGAGAAGTTCTCCTCTCACGCGCGCTCTTTTGTTTTTGGAAAAACATCGGCAGGCCGCACCAACAGGGGGGATCGAGTGGCCGTGCCACTGGTGAGGATGACTTGAGCCTCGTACAGCTTTCTAATGTTTTTGTCATGGAACCACTTCAGAACTTTGGTGTTTTTGAATGTTGGTGAGCATTTGCAGTTTCTGACATGCATCGCAAGGTGTCCCGATGGTGCTGATTTCAATGTTTGGGCATGTTCTCTTAATCTCTTATAAATACATCGCCCCGACTGACCTACATACACTTAGCCGTAAGTAAATGGTATTTGATATATCACTCCAGTTTGACATTCTACATACTTGAGTCGATGTTTTACACTGCACTCTTGCTGTTGATGCTGTTGGCAATTTATCTTATTGGAGAGCCTTTTTAGTTTGTCCGGAGCTGGAAGCACGATTTGGACTTGAAACTTCGCGGCTGTTCTCTTCAAGTTGTTGGACAAGCGGTGTATATATGGCAGAACAGTCGGTCGGTGTTTCTTGTGTTTTTCAGTGTCATGTTTTTTATTTGAGGTCATCAAGGATTCGGCGACTTCATATATTATCGATATATTATCCCGACGCTTTCAGCCTTTGTACTTGAGCATAGAAGCTTTCATGCTCAAGTACAAAAACTGAAAGCGTCGGAATATCCGAGTTCGATAATATATGAAGTCACCGAATCCTTAATGACCTTATTAAAAAGAAAAAAAAAAAAAAACACGACCCTGAAAAACACAAGAAACACCGACCGACTGTTCTGTCAAATATACACCGCTTGTCCCACAACTTGAAGAGAACAGCCGCGAAGTTTCAAGTCCAAGTCGTGCTTTCAGCTCCGGACAAACTAAAAAGGCTCTGCCCTAAGATCAATTCCCAACAGCATCGACAGCAAGAGTGCAGTGTAAAACATCGACTCAAGTATGTAGAATGTCAAAGTGGAGCGATATACAAAAAAACATTTACTTGCGGCAAAGTTTATGTAGGCCAGTCGGGGCGATGTATTAATACGAGATTAAGAGAACATGCCCAAACGTTGAAATCAGCACCATCGGGACACCTTGCGGTGCATGTCAGAGACTGCAAATGCTCACCAACATTCAACGACACCAAAGTTCTGAAGCGGTTCCGTGACAAAAACATTAGAGAGAGCTGTACGAGGCTCAAGTCATCCTCACCAGTGGCGACAAGTGTATAAGCGCCCCGCCCCGTCAGTGACCCTAACACAGAAAGAACTTCAGTTCTTTAGGTGCTTCCCCTAAAGACTTGAAACACAAAATGAACTTCAGTTCTACCGGTGTTTTACCTGAAGACGTTTTAGCCGGTTGCTCTGCGTGATGTTTTTTCTTCTTTTTTCTTCTATTCAATTTTTCTTTTTATTATTTTTTTTCTTTTTGTTGTATAGGCAGTTTTTTTACGTGGCAAGTACTTTGCCTTTAGCTGAAGTTAAAATATTTTTGTTCTGATTCCTAAAACCAAAGAACTTCTTTGTAGCAGCAGTGACCTGAATTTCATTTCATTTTTCTTTTCTTCTTTTTCACTTCCACTTTGTCGTTCTCTAGATGCTCTATTAAATTTGCCAGTTGTAAGTAAGCGTTCTGTCCTGTACCCTCCTTCTCTTCTTAGTCCTTTGCGCTTTTAAAACCACCATCTAAAATAGCGCACTCAAGGCGCCAAACGTGGTTAGCGTTCGGAGCACGTGCAGTGGCGACGACGCTATTTTTCGCGTACGCAAATCTTTAGCGTGCACGATTCTAAAACCGCCTATAAAATAATTCGGACCACCAGTCTTCTTTTTACGTCTGACAATACGGTAATAGCAGAATCAATGATTTCGCAGGTTTCGGCGTACGGGCAGAAGTTTGTGAACTTGGACAACTACAACAAGCTGGACCTTGTACTTCTGGCAGCATGTGCGTTTTTGCTCATCGTGCAGACGGGCCTCTTGTTTATAAAGTTGGCCCACTTCACAATTCACTTTATAATGGCGGGCCTGTACATCCTCCTCATCGCAGCGAGATTCGTCCATGCCATAAAATACGTTGAGGTAAGTTCGCCTTCCTACAGCTCACTCAGCGGCACATTGTAGCGAATGTAAACCATATCTTTCGGTTGATGCCCGCTAGGCACACACAAAGATGAATTTATTAGGTTTGTAGCCCCGCACACTCCCACAGTACGTCCTGCATTGCAAGGGAAACGCTTCCAGAGCATGTAGAGAAGGTCACCGTTGGACTGGGGCCTCAGCGGACTGCGTTGATTCGGAGCTGAAACTTGTTCGTGACAAAAACGCAGTTTCTGGGTCATCTGAGGCTGGTGAGAGCAACCTTCTTTGGGGTGAAGGTTCTCCACCGGGCCAGGACGTCCTCAGTGAGGGTGGCACCGGTGCGTGATTATAGATGAGCACTCGAGAATCTCTTGTTAGACCTTTAGGTAGGGGTGAAGTTCTGACTAGGGCAATGGCGTAGGCAACGGGTGGTTCGAGGGTCAACACCCCCCCCCCCCCCCCCCCACTCCCCGAAATTCCGAAGCTACCCTCCCACCACAATCAAGTACCCAAGCACCAAGATTTCATCTCCAAAAGACGAAGATTTAAGATCAACCTCGAAGAAAATTGTGCGTCAAGTACAAAACCAAGAGGGAGGGGGATTAAACGAAAAAAAAGGAAAGGGAAAAAAGGGAAGGAAAATGAAATCCGCTGATCGGGCCTGCTCCGTGGGCTGCGGTTTCGCTATTTAATTTAATTTTTTTTCGACTTTAACATTTTTCCTTCTTTTGGCGCTCAGCCATTTTTATTTATTTTATAATCGAATTTAAGTCTGCAATGCTAACGCGGGAGCAGACCAAAGACACAACTCTTTTTCTTATTTCTTTAGGTCTCAACATATTATATTGCCGCGCGCCAAGTAGGCAGCGCGGCCGTAACCTCACGGTTATCGCGCTTGTCTCCCACGCGAAGGGCCAGGGTTCGATTCCTGGCCGCGGCTATGCATTTTTGTTAACACTGTCATGTAATGTTCTGGTGAAATCGAGAACCGTCTAGCTGATTCGAGGTCAGAATGTTCTACGCGTCGAACCTTCTACGTCGAATGCTCCAGAAGCCAACGTGTGTACAAAAGCGGCTCCGCGGGCAAGCCGGAGCCAGTTTTCGCCCCAGCGTTCGACTCAGCTGCTACGCCGACTTCGACGCTCGCGGCGCTCTGTTATCACCTTTTGTACCCTTTTATTTTTCAACACAAGTTCGCCACATTAAACTTTTATTTATTCCTATTTATTTCTTGTTTATTGGTCACCACCCGTGACATTCTGGTGGAGGTGCGGGGTAACCGCATGCCCGTGCAGCGCTCCCCTCCAAGTTCCCGCAGTGCAAGTGCGAACACAAGCCCCCCAAAGAACCCAACGAGGACCAGACCGAGATCCGATTAAGTCGCCGGAACCTAGGCCTACCCCCGGAGTTAGGACCCTTGCCACCCAGGACCAGGCAAACAAGGAGGACGACGATGGCCAACCAGTCGGAGACCCCGGCCGCTCCAGCCGTCGTTTACCTGCCCGTCGTACCGCGGACGGCTGCTCCATTCCACGGCGAGCAATACGAAGACGTCGAAGACTGGATTGACCAGTATGAACGCGTTGCCCGCCACAATTGCTGGACCGACGAGCAGCGCCTGAACAACGTCTATTTTTCGCTTGAGGGTACCGCCAAGCACTGGTACGAGAATCATGAGTCCTCTTTGACGTCGTGGGACCTGTTCAAGACCAATCTCAAGGCTACGTTCAGCAACCACCACCGCCGAGAGAGAGCCGAGGACCTACTGCGGACCAGAATCCAGGGCCCAAACGAGAGCGTCACCGGCTTCGTCGAGGACGTTCTTCGCCTGAGCGCCCGCGCCGATCCCCAGGCTACAGAGGAGAAGAAGCTGCGACACCTGATGAGGGGTGTGAAAAGCGAGATATTCGGAGGTCTCATTCGCAATCCCCCGACAACTGTGGACGGGTTCGTCACGGAGGCGACGAATATGGAGCGTGCCCTACTAGCACGCGCCAGACACTACGAGCGACACCCTGGCGTGACTACTCTGGCGACATCCGGATACAACCTTGGTACCGACCTCCCAGGCATCCGTGACATCATCCGTGAAGTCGTCCGGGAAGAAATCCGCAAGATGCTCCCCACTATGGATCGCCCGTCCTCCCTGTCGCTCGCCGAGGTCGTGCGAGATGAAGTTCACCGGTCCTTCCAACCTGAGGTTCCGATCAACATGACAACGCCAGAGGAGCCGACTTTGAGCTACGCCGCCATGGCCCGACGACCGCCGCAAGCTAACCGCCAGGCCACGGCGCCACCCCGACGAGACCCTCCGATGCCACAGTATCCTCGACGCCAGGAAGGGCAAGTCCAGAACTTCCACCCGGAGCAACCCTCGTCGAGGAAGACCGACGTGTAGCGAACGGCCGACCGACGCCCGCTCTGCTACTACTGCAGGGAACCCGACCATGTGTACCGCCGATGCCCATACCGCCAACTCGGGCTGCGCGGATTCCACCCAAACGACCCGCGCCCCCGGTATGGTGAACGCCCTCGGGAGATCGACGAGTACCTGCGACGACCCCAGTCCCCCGAGCCTGCGTCCCGCCGAGAGTTCCGGTCGCCGTCGCCCAGACGTCCAGCTTCGCCGATGCACCGACCCCGACGTGAAAGCCTGTGGCCCCTCACTCCTCGCCGGGGAAACTAGGCGCGGCAACCCCTGGAGGTGGAGTTGTCGAAGACGACCGACGTAAAGAGCCTCCAAGAACGACGGAGCGCTCCCACTCTCCCGACGCCACGCATCGCTACGACGCCCCTGCAACGGTGTCCAACAACCTAAACGTCGTCATCGACGGCCACGACGCATCGGCACTCGTGGACACCGGAGCAGACTACTCAGTCTTGAGTGGGAGGCTCTCCCGCCGCCTTCGCAAAGTCATGACGCCGTGGGATGGACCCCAAATACGAACCGCAGGAGGACATCTCATCACGCCCGTCGGAAGGTGCACTGCTCGCGTCGAGATTCACGGCGAGACGTTTCCGGTAAAGTTCATCGTTCTACAAGACTGTTCCAGAGATGTCATTCTTGGCATGGACTTTCTGTGTGAATACGGCGCCGTCATCGACCTGGGTGAGAAGAGACTGACGCTGCGGAAGCCTGTTCCGCCTTCAGAGAAACCCCAAACAGGGTCAGCCGCCGTCCGAGTCGCCACCGACCACGTGAACCTGCCGCCGCGATCAAGTGTTGTCGTACCCGTCGTGGCCGATACAGCTACCTGCGGCGAAGTTGTCCTAGAAGGCAACCTTCAATTGCTCCTGGGAAGAGGAATAGGCGTCGCAAGAGGAGTAGCTGAACTTCAGGATGGGCGGACTGTGGTCCTGGCGACGAACTTCCGAAATGAAACTCAACACCTCACGAAAGGTGCAGCCGTGGGCCAAGTCGAGGAACTTCGAAACGCCGCCGAAATCGCCACGGTTACTGACGAAACCTCGCCACCTCAGCAAGACAGTCCGTCGCCAGCGCAGCTCGACATTGACCCTAAGTTTCCGAGCCCGAAACGACGGCAGCTAAGTGACCTCCTCGCCGAATACAGTGACTGCTTCGTGACGTTGTCGAGGGTGTGCCAAATCGCCGTTGCGAAACACCGCATCAGTACCGAGGACAACGCGCGCCCTGTGCATCGATCGCCGTACAGAGTCTCCGCTAAGGAAAGGGAGGTGATCCATCAGCAAGTTCAAGAGATGCTGAATGACGACATAATTCAACCTTCAAGCAGTCCATGGGCCTCTCCAGTCGTGCTGGTTAAGAAAAAGGACGGAACTCTTCGGTTCTGCGTGGACTACCGGCAGCTCAACACGGTTACGAAGAAAGACGTCTACCCACTCCCCCGCATCGACGACACCCTAGACCGGCTGCGCCACTCTCGATACTTTTCATCGATGGACCTGAAGAGCGGCTACTGGCAAATCGAGGTCGACGAACGGGACCGAGAGAAGACAGCCTTCGTCACGCCGGATGGACTGTACGAGTTCAAGGTGATGCCCTTCGGACTATGCACGGCGCCAGCAACTTTCCAGCGTGTCATGGACACCGTACTGGCAGGGCTGAAGTGGCAGAGTTGTCTCGTCTACCTTGACGACGTCGTAGTATTTTCAGCTGACTTCGACGAGCACTTGAGACGACTCCGAGCTGTTCTTCAAGCCATTCAGACCGCCGGACTCACACTCAAGCCGTCAAAGTGCCGGTTCGCCTATGACGAACTGAAGTTCCTTGGCCACGTGGTTAGTAACGAAGGCGTCCGCCCAGACCCCGAGAAGACTCGCGCCGTCGCGGCATTTCCAGCGCCGACAGATAAGAAGGCCGTGAGAAGATTCCTTGGACTTTGTGCCTATTATCGACGCTTCGTTCGGGATTTCGCAAGGATTTCCGCACCACTTACGAATCTCACGAAGAACGCCGAGAAGTTCGAATGGGCAGAGGAGCAACAGCAGGCATTTGACGAACTGAAACGACGACTCCAGAATCCTCCTGTGCTTGGATATTTCGACTAGGATGCGGGAACAGAAATTCACACGGACGCAAGTAACGCGGGACTGGGCGCAGTACTAGTCCAAGTGCAAGAAGGCATCGAGCAAGTCATCGCCTACGCAAGTCGGACATTGTCCAAGGAGGAGAAAAATGACTCCACGACTGAGAAAGAATGCCTTGCGGTCGTCTGGGCAATAACGAAGTTTCGTCCGTACTTGTACGGGAGCCCGTTCCGTGTAGTCACGGACCACCACTCGCTCTGCTGGCTTGCGAACCTGAAGGACCCGTCAGGACGCCTCGCTCGATGGAGTCTTTGACTACAAGAGTTCAACATGACAGTGGTCTATAAGTCAGGCCGCAAGCACAGCGACGCCGACTGCCTGTCCAGAGCCACCGTCGAAACCCCTTCCGGCTGCAGCGACGACAATGACGACGAGTGCTTTTTAGGAGCAGTGAACACCGACGATATGGCACGACGTCAACGGGACGATCC